TTTTTTTGATTTGTAGTCTTGTGCCGTTGCAAAGTGTGGGTGGGCTCAAATTTCTCATTAAAATAATAGGTGCCCCTATTTATAAAATCAGTGTATGTCCCCCCCGACTTCAGAAGGCGTTAAAGAGTAAAGAAATTCAGTTGGGAAATGGGCTACATCCTCTTTTTCTAAGACTGTATCAACTGAATAGTACATTTGTGATTGAGCGTCAAACCAAGATAGAATCAAATCATTTAATTTTTCGACTTGCTCATTTGTTGGTGACAAAATAGCCCTTTATTGAAACCATTTCAATGATTTRGAAGATATATTTTGAATGTTCAGGTACACGTTTTGAATCAATTTTGTTATAGTGGGTACTGAATTACAGAAACTTTTAATATTTATTTTATCATTCGTTGCTTGAAATTCGCCTTAGCCTATTAAAAGTAAATCTTTGACAAAATTTATATTATCTTGATCTGTACATAGCACTCTCATATTAGTTTTAAGTTCTAATATTTTTATATAAGGACATAAGTAGGATCTTTTCAAAGACCCGTTGACTTCATCAGCTCTTGTCCCACTTGTAACTACAGGCAAGATGTGACGGAAGTCTCCAGAGAACAATAACAATGTACAGCCACCCATAGGACTATTATTATGTCGCAAGTCTCGCATCGTTCTATCTAAAGCTTCAACTGAAGTTTTTTGAGACATTGACGCTTCGTCCCAAATAATTAGACTACAGTCCTGCATCAATTTACCAGTACCRCTTTGCTTTGAAACGTTACAGACACTCGTAGTATTGTCACTATCATATTTCAAAGGAAGTTTAAAATTTTAAATGTAGAATGAGCTGTTCGGCCCSCTACTAATAGCGTAGCTGAAATTCCAGATGACGCTACCGCAAGAGAAATTTTTCCACCATATCTACTTTTACAAGAAGTAAATTTATCAAAAAAGTTTTACCCGTGCCCCCAGGAGCATCTGAAAATAATATTTTGCCTTAATTATTGTTAACAGACGACAATATCACTGAATCATATACAATTATTTGTTCACGGTTTAATTGATTTTCATTTTGAACGGACAGTAATAGTTGCTGTTGATCATAATTTCTCTCTCTTAAACACTCAATATTAATTGTTGTTCTATTTATGTTTATCGGTAAAGGAAAACCAAAATGTACTATAGATTTTCCCGATAAAACTTCCACTTCTTTGTTTAATTCAAATAAAGCTTCATCAAATARACWTTGGTCAAAACTAATATCATTTGATGACAATTCCTGTCGTTTTTGATACAGTTTATCGTCGGCCATACTTTCACAATAATTTTGCCAAAGCATCAAAGGATCAGTAATTTGACAAAATGATAGCAAATAAACATCTTAGTGATTTAGGTGTACAACATATAGACGCTTCTGATAGCGTGTTTTCCCAATGAGACGCGTCATCCAATTAACCCAACGCTTTGCATGCACCTTGAAAGTATCATAAATGACATTTTGCACTGTGYRAAGACTTTGAATAGAAGTTGGACCTTTAACTATATGGAGCAGCATCTTCAMGTGAAAACACTCGGTATTGTTAGGATGGATTGTATATACCTTGCCCAGAGCATCGGTTTTTTTGACGCCAGGGTGCCCTTCTACCACAGTTCCTTTATACTTATCAAAGTCCACRTTTTAGCAAATTCATCTTCTGCGCATAATTTAAAAAACGTTGTTAGTGTCGTATCTTGCGGATCATCAACAACATCACTTACATTRCTTTCTGAAAAATATACCCTTTGACAATTTTCTAAGTGAACTGTGAGATGGATARCAGTTGGTGCTCTCTCATGTATACTAAATGATAAAATCCGACAAACTGCTTCTGAGCTACAAATGTAGCGGSCAAACTGATATTGGTCCACTTCATCTGTTGACTGCACGCTAAACGTAGCTTGGTCGCTGCCTTTATTAATATATTTAGTTACATATTTTATCGACTTTATAGAACTATATAATTCTACATTAATATGACMATCAGCAAAAGTTTGTTGTAGGGTACAATCCATCTGTTGTCAATTTCATGATTTCGAATAGTACATATTTTTCCACCTTCTTCGGGTGATAATCTTCTATATTTTGGGTARCCATCRTCACCAGAAGAGGTATATTGCTCTGAAATTGTTTTGGGAATTTCTTAGAACATTTCCCCTCAATCATRCATGGTGAGTTATGGYTAAAAGCCGCACATGGTCCATGAACCATGTGCTTTACAACAATATCATACAGTTCTTGACCTTCTTCTTCTATGTTTGGTATTTCAACTGTAATTACACTGTCAATTTGGTCTGGTTGGATTTTGTTTGTAAGCCAAAGAAGAAGGTGTATATTATGYGGTAACCCACGCTTTTTCCATTCAACCGTATACATATAACACCGTGGAGGGCCAAATATATAATGTTTATTAATGAGAGTTAACAAGTTTTGCATCTTTAAATAAAAAACTCGATTTACTATGTTGTAACTACTGTCTTGAGGTTTTGAATTAGTATGGATATTATTTAAGATCTCGGGCCAGTGTAGATTACATGTCATCGTGATGAATAATTCTAGTTTACCATAGTTTTTTACGTAAGTCATTGCATCCTGTGTTTTTTCGTGAAGATAAACTTGATGACAATATAACTAATTGTCCAATGTTATTGTTTTGTTCATTTGAGCGCAATGCGTCCTGTAGATGAATATAACTTTCAGCACGTAATGTCTTTTGATTGTGTCATAKAAACGSCAAACGCTCAGATTCGATTTTGGCATACTGATCAACTATATATTGGTTAACATGCCATATCTAAGTAAATGATTTGAATTTTTCTGGCGTTCCATTATGCGATAGCAATAATAGTTCATACATGAAACTTTTTTTTGTGTAGGAACTCTAGTAACAGGATCGACTTGAGAGATATCTATCGAGTATCCATCTTCACTGTAGAGGAACATTAATGAATATTGAAGACTGTCGTAGGATTGGTGCAATTCAGRAATTATTTGAAGATTTTCATCACGACATSACAGTACAAAGTCTCTTTTGTCGAATTGTTGTCCTGTAATTATAACGGCTATTTCGCTCGTTGACAGAGCATTATAACGACCGCGATGTTCACCATTCGGAACTTTGTTACCAATTTATAGTCTGTAACATTAGAAGCATTGGCGTAATTCCATTAAATTTYAGCAGGTGCAAAATGTTATCGGTCCAATAATCGTAATGATAAATTAAGTCATATTATTCATATTTAAAGCTAATTGCATTGCTCGCGTGTGCTATAGGTATCTATTTATATTTRATAAYAATATAACATAAACAAATATCAAAATCTGTATGTACCTATATTTTAAATACTTTATGTGCTGTGTCTGTACTATATATGGTACATTCGTACATTATACATATAAAAATATAATATTTATATGAAATTAATTAAAGTGATACAACATTTTTAAATAAGCTAAAAAAAAATCAACGAATCGATGAAATTTAGTTGGTATTGTATTTCAATAGGTATAAAGT